ATATTGCCACCCAAGTTTTAGGATTAAATGAGGTAAGGCATCTACAGACCTTGCTCAGCACTTAGTAGGCACTCAGTACCGGTTTCCTTCCTTCCCTTTCTTATCCACGCCCCCGCTCCCCGATAGAGCCTGACACTCCTGCACAGTAGATATTTCTGAACAAGTGATTCTAAAATAGTTCACGGCTTTTTGTTGAAGGATGGAACTCCAGTGCCTGGCATCCCGCAGTCTTCACAATTTGGGCCTGGCCTGTTTCTCTCAGTGCAGGCCCATGTGTTCTTGTCTGGAACCTCAACTACTAGCTGGGACCACCAAGGCATTCTTTCAAAACACATCTTGAGCTTTCTCACCAGTGAGCATTCAGCTTCTGTATCTTCCCACCTACCACATCTCTCCCCACCCTCCATCCGTCTTAGATGTTCTTCCCAAGCCCAGGTTACAATTCCCTCCTTTTTTGCCTCCTCCCACAAATTCTAAGTAAACTCAGTCCAGCAATTTGCTATCTGAAACTATAGTGTTTACCAGTCACTGGGAAATTTACTGAGATAACTCCTGTTTATCAGTCAATCCTAAAGGAAATAGTCCTAAATATTCACTGGAAGGACTCATGTTGAAGCTGAAACTCCAGTACTTTGGCCACCTGATGCAAAGAACTGACTCATTGGAAAAGACCCTGATGCTGGGAAAGATTGAAGGCAGGAGGAGATGGGGATGACAGAGGGTCAGATGGTTGGATGGCATCACCAACTCGATGGACATGAGTTTGAGCAAGCTCTGTGAGTTGGTGATGGACAAGGAAGCCTGGTGTGCTTCAGTCCATTGGGGTTGCAAAGAGTCGGACATGACTGAACCGAGCTCTTGCTTTATTATTGTTAAAAATTTTAAGTATGAACTATGTATAAAATAGGTGACTAATGAGAACCTACTGTTCAACACAAGGTACTCTACACAGTTGAATATATGTGTGTATATAACTGATTCATGTAAGTTATACAGCAGAAAGTAGCACAACATTGTAAAGCAACCATACTCCAATAAAAATTAATTTAAAATGTATGCTTTGTCTTCTATCTAGTCTGTTAGTTAGCTGAGAAATAAATGACAGTAATGATAGCTACCACTAATGAAACACTTTGTATGTGTCAGGGACTATTCCTAGGCCCTTCACATACATTAAGGGCTTCCCTGGCGGCTCACAAGGTAAACAATTGGCCTTTAATGAAGGAGACCCAGGTTCGATTCTTGCGTCAGGAAGATCCCCTGGAGAAGGAAATGACAACCCACTCCAGTATTCTTGCCTGGAGAATCCCATGGACAGAGGAGCCTGGCGGGCTATAGTCCATGGAGTGGCAAAGAGTCGGACATGACTGAGTAGCTCACATACATTATCTCATTGAATTTTACTCTTATAACCTTCCTATGAGGCATGCATTATCTTCCTTATTTTACAGGTTAAGAAATTTAGGTTTAGTATGGTTAATAAATTGCCTAAGATTAATCAGCTAGGAAGCAGTATAACTGAGATTTGGATAAGATCTAATTAGTTCCATGTGCTGTGTTTAGTCACTCAGTCGTGTTCCACTCTTTGTGACTCCATGGCTCCCCCGTCCATGGGGATTCTCCAGGCAAGAATACTGGAGTGGGTTGCCATGCCCTCCTCCAGGGGATCTTTCCAACCCAGGGATCGAATCCAGGTCTCCTGCATTTCCGGTGGATTCTTTTACCATCTGAGCCACCAGGGAAGCCCAATTAATTCCATAACCTGTGCTGTTACTCTCTTCCTTTGTGGGGCCAACAGCATGTGACACAGTGATGGACCCAGGGGAGCCACTCAACTGACCGAGACCACCAATGAAGACAAGCTTGGGTTTTGGCAGGTCACGGTTAAAGTACTTGGCCTCCCTATTGACAGCGTATGATATAGGTCACTCCTACTGGCTTTACATCTACCACTTCCCCCCGCCAGTTGACGGTGGACCTCACTCTCATTTTGCCAACTGTCTTTTTAGAAGTCCTAACTAGGGCTGTAATAGCCTTTATTATTTACAGAAGACAGTGATGTCCATTATGCCACCTGGGGAGATTTAGCTTTTTCCCAGGGATTTTCTTTAATCTTCCCATGGCTTCCACCTCCATGAGCAGAAAGAAGTTCTAGACGGTGGCATTCACTCCTTGAGGGTTACCAACCTAAATCCCCTGAAGAAAGGACATGCTGTGTTTCTGCCCGCTTTGGTCCAAGCAGTCTACAAAAGCTCACCTCGCAAGAGATGGCGGTGGAATGTTCAATCCTAGTTGAGATTCTTAAAAATGTTCATCTTCGAACATACATCAAAGGAGTGATGTCCTGCAGTGGTGGAGGCGGGGCGGTGGGGGGGGGGTGGTCCTTGCTTGGTGGCCAGACCTACCACTGGCAGGATATGAGAGCTCACTTTTCTCTGAACTTTATTCATCTGTAAAATCAAAGTGATGGATTTTATGGGCTCTAAGGTCCAATCCAGCTACAGACTTCTGTGACTCTGGAAGGTGATGGAATTGTGGTGAGGAGAGCAGAAAAGGACCCAGGCACATTTTCCAGGTGCTTGCTCAATTTTGAGCATGTATGTGGTGGAGCTGGATGTGCGTGAGCTATGAGGCTGAAGCCTGAGAGGGTAAAAGGTCCCAGTTCTGAATGGAACAATGGAACCCTAGGGGCTCAGGAACAACCCACCTTAAATAGCAAATCTGAGAAACTCAGAAGGAACCGTGCGGCTGGTTATCAACTTATGAAGCGGGCTCTCTCGCTGTGTTTATTCTTCCTCTGAGGATCAGGCCTTGTTCCTAGACTCAAGAGTAATCTTACTTCAGTCGGGTCAAACACTACTTAGTTCATTTTCAGCTTGGGAGCCATTTGAATGATGACTTTGCTCTCATCATTTCTGTCTCTGAGGAGCAGCTGCAAAGGCCCCTGGTTCGGAGGGAGGTGCCAAGCTGGCTAGGGGAGCAGGGACAGGATAGGGCCTTTAGCTGTCTTAGTTGAATCCACAGATGTGATCTCAAATCTCAGCACTTCAGCCATGCGAGCCCTCGCTGATGTTTTCCCAGTACCTAAAGCCAACTGTTTGCTGTTTAGTCACTAAGTCATGTCTGACTTTTTGTGACTCCATGGACTGTAGCCCACCAGGCTCCTCTGTCCATGGGGTTGTCCATGCAAGACTACTGCAGTGCATTGCCATTTTCTCCTCCAGGACTATTTTTCCTGTGTCCAAGTGCCAAGACAGTTCTTCACTGAGCAGTTTTGTGAAAAGGGACATAGAAGGGGCTCAGCAGTACACAGAGACTGAATCCTCCATTCTAGTGACCATATAGCCTTAGTGTTTACGTGATAAGCATGAGCTGGAGTCAGCCAGGAAACCTACAAGACATGGGTTTCTTTCAATTGACCATAAGCTCCTGTTGCTTTAACAAATACTTAGTGAAATGATAACCCAAGGCTCTGCTTTTGTTTTCAAGCTAAACTCCACTTATCTGATGAGGGATGTTCAAGGAGCAATTCAGTATCAAAACCACATGGGGAAAATAGCCATACAGATAATTTATTACCATAAAACCTCATAAAAAGAGACATTGGCCCACATTAAAAATAACATACCCTGAGGTGGGGATAGAGGGTGAGTTAGGGGGAGTCTGTAACGATGGTAGTCTTCATCTGGCTCTGTTCCTCAGGCCTGGCCCCTCCCTGGCGTCTGAGACCAGCAAATCTCTCGTATGAGAGCAGAGTCAAGGAAAGGAGGGCCCCTGGAGGGGGAGGGAGCCTCTCCCTCCCAAGACATTCGGGGTGCTCTAGACAAGCCCCCACCATGGAGGTCAGGTTTGTGAACACAAGTGTGCCTCCAGGAAGGGTGACCGCCAGGAAAACCTTTCCCTTGGCAGACTTGGCTTTTGAAATCACGCACCTTGGGCCCTACTTAAGAGTGTCTGTTGACATTTGTCCTTCCCCATTTTGCAAATGTTGACTGGCGTTTCTCTCCTAGAATGGTGGGAGGCAGGGTGGGGAAGTGGTAACACCAGCAGCAACCCCGGCAGGTGTCCAGCCTTGCTTTGGGGAAGTGGCTGGAGGCTGGGTAAGTGCATCCCAGTGACTGTCGGGAGTGCTTACTGAGAGAAAAGGCAGATCGCTGTGCGCCGGACCCTCTCCACTGGTAGCTTAGTCTGCAATTAGGTTAAGCCTCCGGGCTCCACAAAAGCCTCGAGGCTCTACAACAACATTTTCATACACATATATAGATCTCAAAGTGAGACACAGATTGAAATGTTAACATATACTGTTCAAGTCATAATGAAGACGTTAGACCAGACACAAATTCACATCCTATTGCCCTGACATCCAGGAAATGCCTACAGGATAGAGAAAGGCAACTGGGGGGGACTGTGGCATATGAAAAACAGGTTGATTGATGCTCTGCTGAAAATCCAGTTTTGCTGTTCCAGATTGCTCATTCAGGAGAGGTAAGCAAGCAGTTAAACTCCATTTTGTGGCATGTGACCCCCAAAGCCTTTAGTTTAGAGCCTACTTATGATTCTTGTAAAGGCAAACAAGTTTCTTGAAGACATCACAGGCCTTTTCGTGGTCTTTCTGGCATCCTTTCACCCCAGAGAGCAGTAGGGACACTGGTGTCCAGGAGGGGAAAGTGTGGTTGTGGATGATTTGAAGGATCTGGGTGTACTTAAGATGGGCATGACACAGGGAGCAACAGGAAGATAGCTCAGGAATCTAACTTTAACTGAGAAAGTGGCCAAGGGCTCTCAGTTTGTTTTCACCGCCCCCCCCCCTTTTTTTTTGCCACACCAAGAAAAGCCTATTTTCCAAAGGCTTTCAGAATGGGATGGCACTGATTGAATTACTTTCACAGCGGTGAACTTTCAGAGAAGACTGTAATCTGCAATAATTTTCAACTGAATGACTATAGCTAGTTTGTTCTGACCTGATATTTCCCTCAGATTGAGAATATAGTATTGGCAGGCTATATTCCTCCCTCCAAAGGACAAAAAGCTGCAAGTGAAGGAAGGCTGGGCCGAGGTGAGAGGGCCCAGTCTGAAAAGACAATGAGATCTGGATTTATCCAGGCATGGAAGCTGCTCTGGAAGGCTTCTGTAGGCTGAAATAATCTAGTTTTGATAAAAGACTCAAAGGAAACCACGTGTCTCACTAATTGCAGGATGCCCTGCATGTTCTGACCTTGGCTACTAACAATGACTGACAGTCTCAGTTCACGTCTGGGGTTGGTGAAAGGGAGAGTGAGAAAAGCAACACCCCCTACGCCAAATAAAGTCATCGAGTGATACACATCTCCCCCCTGCTTCCAAGGACTGGAAAGTTTTAACTTCACTAGCTCTACCAGGCTCACGATACTGCCCATCAGCTTGGGATGCTGCTAGAGTCCACTAAAGCCCTCTGTAGGCAGAGCAACCCAGCTCAAGAGCTCTGCCAGACAGGAGAGCTGAGAATCGGGGTTTTGGGTGTAATTCTTCCACAGGCTTTCTCTGGGGGGCCCAGTGGGAGAGCAGGGGGGAACATTATCTGGCAAGAGGAGGTGGTTCTGTGGGGCCATGAGACAGTGGCCTTGGGCAGAGCACATGCAAGGCCTGGTCGACCAGAGCTCTGGCTCCTCATGGGGAAAGAGGGGAGGCCAGGAAGCCTATGAGCCTGCAGCCACTGACGGAAGTTCACGAGGGTGAATAAGACAGACACTTGGATCAAGGAAAGATACCGAGAGACTGCTCTAACTCACCCAAGGAAATGGCAGATGGGAGGACAAGCATTTTGGCCGGCACCTCCACTGGGGTAGCACTCTCTTATGTAATCTAATTCCAGTTTCCAAGGGCTGGGGTGTGGGGGGTGGATCTCTCTAGCTCATTAAGCACTCTAGGGTATGGAGTGGGCAGCTGCCAAGGCTGATGACTGCAGAGGCTGACTCACGATTGGCCCTCAGTGTTGCTTGTGATGGGAAGGGCACCGACTCCAACTTCAGAATTAACTGACTGCATTGCAAAGAGGTAGGTGGTAAGAAAACAGGGTGGAGAGGTAAAAGGGTCTACGTTTTCAAAACTGTTTATGTTACAAAGCGGCTATGTTGAAACCAGAGGTATCTTTCAGTGGAAAGGTTTTCCCTCTGTATAAAACACAGCCCAACATTTCCAGCAAAATACTGAAAAGGAAACACTCTTGAATGAGGCTGAGTAAACAATGGCCTCTGCCATGCAGTATGTGTCCTTTGTTAATTTTCTAATCTCTGCTTAGCACAGAAAGGTTACTGCCCTCTACACTCACCCACCCTTAATGTGTTACCTACTGACTGGTCTAATCAGAAACACCCTGGGTTGTTAGAATGATTTCTAAATTCCATACACAACAGGATACTAGTGAGATAGGTCCCTGTGAAAGGAGAGACACAGTTACAGTTAAATAATTTAAAATCCTATATCGGTAAATAAAGACACCCACTCATTTCTGATGGAAACTCTGCAGCACATGCTTCAGCGTCAAATGAAAAAGATATCTTCTAGAATCTGATTCTCCTCCAGGTCTTCAGGGGTGCTGCCGGCCCTGGTCTTGTTCCAGGTTGATTTCAGAGGACTGAGTCGGCAAGTACTGTGATTCCATGACCCAGCTTCTCTGGAGCGATGGGGCCGCGGTTTGGAAGCAGTCTTTGGACTCAGAGATTGAACCAAATCCAACAGAGACGTCTCATACCTGTAACACATACAAGCCAGACAGAAAATGATCAAGTTGGCAGAACATTAAAATCCAAAAAGACCACAGAGATGGGCTGCCCAGGATAAGAATCAGATCACAGATCACATCATACACAAGAGGGCCTTCTCTGGGAACTTTAGGGAAGGTAAACATTAGAAGGGCCTTGTTGTCTGTCTGTCTCTAATAAGCCCTTCTTTTCTGCTGACTACTAACCTATGAAGAGAGACTGTGGAGTGGGCAAGGTAACATGGTAGCAGTAATGATATTAGTAGTGACATCTGCCACCAATTTCAGGCTCTGTTCTCAGCGCTTTACATGTATCTTCCTTTCATTTAACCCTCTACACAACCCTATGAGGTAGGTCCCCATTAGTTACATGAAGAAACTAAGCCTCTGAGAAGTAATTTGTCTAGCAAGAAGCCACTACCCGCTGAGTCAGGATTTGAACCTAGGTCATTTGCTTCCAGCATTCACACACAGGGCACTTTTAAAGCTGCCTCTCAAAGTCTTTGCCTTCAAGGACCTCGTAGCGCAACGGTAGCGCGTCTGACTCCAAAGTCTTTGCCTTCAGAGAGACTTGCTAAAATCTCTCTTTAAGACCACCTTACCTGTCTCCTGAGAAACCTGTATGCGGGTCTAAAAGTAACAGAACCTTAAATGGAACAACTGACTGCTTCAAAATTGGGAAAGGAGTACGAAAAGGTTGTATACTGTCACCCTGCTTATTTAACTTATATGCAGAGTGTTTTAGTTGTTCAGCTGCCAAGTCAAGTCCAACTCTTCGTGTCCAGAGTCGTGTGCATCTCTATGGACTGCAGCATGCCAGGCCCGCCTGTCCCTCACTGTTTTCTGGAGTTTGCCCAATTCATGTCCATTGAACTGATGAAGCCATCCAACCATCTCATCCTCTGTTGCCCTCTTCTCCTTCTGCCTTCTATCTTTCCCACCATCCGGGTCTTGATGTGAAGAGCTGACTCATTGGAAAAGACCCTGATGCTTGGGAGACATTGAAGGCAAAAGGAGAAGGAGGCAGCAGAGGATGAGATGGTTTGATAGCACCACCGAATCAATGAACGTGAATCTGAGCAAACTCCAAGAGATAGAGAAGGACATGTGCTGCAGTCCATGGGGTCACCGAGTTGGATATAACTTAGTGACTGAACAACAACAATAAATCAACTCGTGATAAGTATTCAATAAATGCTAATTTCGTCCTGATACTACTCCCACTTTCTCAAGAATCTTGGAAAAGGAATCTTATTTGAAACTAAAGAAATCCCTCTAAAGAAGGAGTGCCTTAGTGTCTAGCATTTTTATAAAAAAGTAAACTTAGAGCAGTTAAGAGGCAGAGAAACAAATATGATCGATAACATCTCATCCACGTGTCACTGTTTTTATTTCCAGGATTGGAAGCCAAAGGCATAAAACGATCTCCCTCCACATTCACTCACACAGAGGGTCGCATCACTTCTATGGACAGAACGCGAAGCCTAAACAGGGCCTGTGTGACCTGCATAGCTGCTCGGGGCTCCATACACGGCTCAGCGCTCTACTGTGGCTGTCCTGAAATTCTTAGTGATCCTACCTCTGACCTTGTCTATTAGAAACAAAGTCTGATGGAACAAGGAAGCACGCATGTGAGACAGGAGGTACGCTGGGCAACGTGTGGGTTCTGGCCCGCAGCACTGTGTGTATGCCAGACAGCCGGCTCCGGCCCGTGTGCACCTTTGCGCTAGGGCAGTGTGGGGGTGGTGGCGCGGGGCCCCAGACGAGCCACGTGATGGGGACAGAAGGGGCAGTGGCGGGGGCACTGGCGGGAGGCTGGCTTGCCTTCTTCCCAGAGCTTATTCCCAAGGTGAAAGTATTAGCTCTCTGGCCTGAGCATGGAGTTAAGAACTGCCAGTGCTTAGGCAATAAACGCCAGTAAATTACAAAATAAAAGCATGCATGTGGGCACTGTAACATAGCATATCAAAGTGATACTAGGATTCTTCAGAGTTTAGAATCTCTGATGTTAAATGCTGTTGCAACATTGCAAAGCAAATATCCACTGGTTGAGAAATAGAAATTAAATTAAAGATTACTGCATTTGATGGAAAAGAACATTGTTTTTATATGCAGCTTCAAATGAACAGATAAATGAGGAGTACAGTTTTAAAATTCACTTTTCTTTGTAATTTAAGATACAGTAATAGAAAGCATAACAGGCATTTTGAATTATCTACAAACCATCAAGTGACTTTTGGTCTCTTGCATGACCTCTACAAGTTACAAGAAATACTAGAGAAAACATTAAAATGGCATTGTACAAATTTAAATTGATAAACACACATGAAATTAATGTGTATGAAGAGTTAAATCTTTAAAAAAATTTTTCCATAAGAAGCATCAGCTTTAGACATACTAAAATTTATATTTTGAAATAATTTATTAGAAATCTATCCAAATGGTGTCAGAGTCTACAAAATATTCTTAACAGTTCCAGTGTCAGTTGCATCAGCAGAAAGATCCTTCTAAAAATTAAAAATCACCAAAATTTATGTGTGATCTTTCATTTGCCAAGAGCAACTAATCTGCTTTTAATTATATCACTTAAAATAAAGTTGCTAAAAGTATAAACTTTGACGATCTAATAAATGAATTTGAAGAAATGTGAACCAGAAAAATTTTATGATCAACCAAGTTATCACATTAATAGAGTATTATTATTTATTATAGTATATAAAATTATGATATCAAAATATAATTTCTTGCTAACTGTAGGTTTATGATATTAGTCATGTATCATATGTTTTTTTAAAATTTTTAATTGAAGGATAATTGCTTTACAGAATTGTGTGGTTTTCTGTCATACATCAACAAGAATCGTCCACAGGTACACCCATGTCCCCTCCCTCCCATCTCCCAGCCCACCCTACCCTTCAGCCTGTGGCAGAGCCCCTGTTTGAGTTCCGAGTCACAGCAGATTCCCACTGGCTGTTTCACACATGGTGCTGTGAATGTCTATGTGACTCTCCCCACACATCCCCCTTCCCCCTCCTCTCCTCCCACTTGTCCACAGGTCTGTGCTCTATGCCTGTTTCTCCACTGCTGCCCTGAAAATAAATTCATCAGTGCCATCTCTTCAGACTCCATATGTATGTGTCAGTATACAATATTTATCTTTCTGACTTACTTCACTCACTATAACGGGCTCTAGTTCTGTCCACCTCATTAGAGCAGATTCAAATGCGTTACTTTTTATGGCTGAGTGGTATTCCACTGTGTGTATGCACCACAGTTTCTTTATCCATTCATCTGCTGATGGACATCTAGGCTGCTTCCACGTGCTACCTATTGTAAATAGTGCTGCAGTGAACATGGGGGTACATGTGTCTTTTTCAGTTTTGGTTTCCTCAGGGTATATGCCTAGGACTGGGATTGCTGGGTCATACGGTGGTTTTATTCCTAGCTTTTTAAGGAGTTTCCATACCGTCTTCCATAGTGGCTGTATCAGTTTACATTCCCATCAACAGTGCAAGACCATTCCCTTTTCTCCACACCCTCTCCAGCATTTATTGTTTGTAGACTTTTTGATGATGGTTATTCTGACTGGTGTGAGGTGGTATCTCATTGTAGTTTTGATTTGCATTTCTCTGATAATGAGTGATGTTGAGCATCTTTTCAAGTGCTTGTTAGCCATCTGTATGTCTTCTTTGAAGAAATGTCTCTTCAGGTCCCTTTCCTACTTTCTTCTTAAAGGAAATTAAATTTCTTCTTAAAGGAACATACTTTGTGGTTTAGTACCTTTAACCACATTTTTTAATCCTACTTTTTGAGCAAAAGATTTTCATTTTGCATTGATCTTGTAAGTTACATAGCTGACCTGGCCCTTAAGTCTCAGCCGAAATCAGACTAGCATTTCAGGCACGGAAATGTCATATTTTTTCTATGGTATGAAAATCTATAAGTTGAAATCCTTTCTAGTAGAAAATTTTCTTTTTTAGCAGAAAATTTTTTGCAGTTTTTATTCACATAGCATTAAGCCAATGTTTCAATACAATTGCTTCTATCATTCAAAACGACGACTTCTGCGTTCAACTAAAACATCTTTATTTAGGGTGCAAGCCAGTGAGTGAGTTGGATACCAGCTTCTAAGAAAGTTTGTTTACAAGCAAGACAGACCTACTTCATGCCCAAGGAACAGGCTTTGTTTGAACTTTCCTTGGAGGCACGTAACAATGTTGTGCTAATATCCATCTCTTCATACAGACCATTAATTTAGTTTAAAATCAGAAACAATGGGAAGCCTATTTTTAAATACAATTTCAAATTTTTGTTGTATACAAAACAAGGAGAGATAGTCTAAGTAAACAAATTAAACAAGTTGCCTTTTCTATTAAAAAACAGAACTAAAATAATTGGGGATTAGGAATTACACCAGAAATCAATCAATTCAGAGATGCAAATTGAAATTCAGAGTAACAATAAGACTTTGAGTTTAAAGACTGATTTTAAAGGTACCAACTTATTAATCATTTGAAAAATAGTTGTGGGCTTCAAATTTCTTCAAACTATTTTTATTCAGATGCAATATAGTAAAAAAATATTTATAGAGTGATTCACAACAGCACTGAGAATTAGATCTGCTGTATCAGTTACGATAAATTAGGTTACACAGCAGTAACAAATTAACCTCAAAATTCCAGTGGCTCAATACCATTTAAATACATCCCATGCTTATGCTATGTGCTCAAAGCAGGTGCAGGCAAACAGTAACTCCACTGTCTCACAAGGTAATGTGAGCTTCACTGTTGTCTTGGCAGGGAAGAGAAGCTGAAGAATCTTACAAAGATTCTCCATAGCCACATAGGATGTGACATAACACTTCTTACATTTCATTGGCCAGAGTCAGTCATGAACTGGAAGAGAGGAGAACTGGGTATTGCTAAACGCCAGTAACGCCCACCACTGAAGAATGGGTCTGAGGCATAATTTGGAATGATTCTCTCATTTTA